TGGCCCAACTGATCACATTGGAAGATTCTGTAGCTGTCAGCAAGCTAAAGAAAGAGCTCAACTTTCTTAAAAAATTGAAGTGACATTTGACTGGTTTTGGAAGTAGCGGCAATATGGTTAATCGGCAATTTGGTTAACCGGCAATATGGCTTAATTTCGTGGATTGACCAGAATCCACAAAGAAAACTTACAGAAAGTAGTGCTCAACAAAAAATGATATTTTTGCTGTAGATGTTTGAATTCTTGTGTAATTAACTTCCCTTGTTTGTAAGTTTATATTATCTCTCATTTCTAAGCTTAAAAATCTTTAAGTAATTATTCTTTAATATATATTTTCATGCAGCAACTTCATCAAAGCATCTTTCAGTGATTAAACATGTTCTTAACTTGAGTCATAACATTTCAATCAAGCAAGTAGTATGCATATATACATGTATTTATATAGATTCACTTGATTTCCATTGAAAGAAATACAGTTCAACAGTGAATCAGTGATTGACCTGGCTAAATGTAAACAAAATATAAACAAAGAAATCTCTGATGAAGAAATAGCCCTCAAGTATCCTGCACATATACATTGCCTTGAATATTCTAATGATTGAAGTATGCTAAACTTTCTAGTTTGGGAGAAATTGCTTATCTTAAGCCTGGTTCACTGAAAATTCTGATGTATAAAAACTTTTTCCAGCCGAGATAAAAAATTTCTCAGAGAGAAATCTAATGTGAAATAACTGAGTGGCAAGAATTTTTCCTAGTCTGATTTATTGTGCAGTGGAATTTATAGGGTTGGAGTTTAACTTTGAACTGGGAAATAAATTGAATAAAAATAAGTGAGTATTTTCATTTTGGACTAATAGTGAAGGTAATGATATTGAAGTGTAATTAAAGCAGGAATCTGAAATTAGTTTATGATAATAATATGGATTTTAAAAACAATTTTAATCATCATTATAGTTTATGTAAAGTGTTACTAATTTAAGAACCTGATGCTAATTTTAGAACGTGAATTGATCATTATTTAATTTTAATGGTTATAGATTTGTGAACTTTTTCAGAAGCTTGGATAAGGCTCAACATAACAGGTTATGGAAATTAATTAATTGATATAAGGAGAAGTAAAATAGCTTTATTGAAACTTTAAGATTTTTTATTTGAAATTGTCTGTTATGTGAATCATTTGCAATGTTTGTGTAGTTAGGAGAACTTCCTTTATGTCAGACTTTGTTTTGTAAGTTTTTGTGTGTGTTTTATTTACTTTCATTCAGTCAAGAATAGATTTTAATTGAAAATTTCTTCCTTGAAATAAAAGGTTACCATGTATTCCATATTTATTTTTGTCATTTTCAGCTTCATTTTTCAAAGAAAAAAATCGAGCTATTGTTTTGACCATCTATTTGGCATTGCTTAACCTTTTGCGAAGGTGCATTTTTCCAGAAACTATAAAAGATATTCAATTCCAACATGGTATAATTGTTCACTATAATAACTGTTAGAACATCCTTGGCTAAAAGGGATTAAGGGCCGAAAAGTTGTGATTGCGCTTTCACAAAATCTGAATGCATTCCATAAAATGTGTCATGCTTCAGCGTGGACGCCAATGAATGTTATATCATAAGGGCAGATAATCCTTAAATACTTTTTTGTAAAGTTATGCCCCTTTTACTTAGATTTTTCCCCTTTTGTTAAAATCCATTTCTCATTTCAACTACCAAAGTTAAGGTATTCAATTTAAACTTGGAATATTTAATTGGATTGCATTTCTGAGGTCAATAGAGGCCTATGTAATATTTTCTTCAAGGTACATTTTTGCAAAGATATTCACCTTGAACCTAATAATACCTTTTCATATCTAAGAAACAATAAAAAATATTTATTCTAAACTTTAAATACTTGTTTACTAAAAAAATGTTGTATTCTTTTAATCTGTCAAAGATATTTACCTTGAACTTGAAAATTTGTTCACTATAAAGGGCAGGGAAGGCTCTCAAAACACTGGCAGAATTTATTTTAATACACAGCTCTGTCAAAACTGTCCATATACTATATGTTGTGCATCTGTGAAGCCAAAAATTTCTCTTACTAGCTAAACATATTCTGCTAAAGGAACACCTTTGAGACATTTGTGAAAGTTTTTTGGTAAAATAGTGGTCAAAGATCACTGATGAAATAGTGGTAGAAGATCACTGATAAAATAGTAGTAGAAGATCACTTATGAAATAATGGTACCAGATAATGTAAAAGATCACTGATGAAATAGTGGTACAAGATCAGTGATGAAATAGTGATAGAAGATCACTAATGAAATACTAGTAGAAGATCACTGATGAAATAGTGGTAGATCACTGTTGAAGTAGTGGTAGGAAATAACTAATAAAATCGTGGCAGGAGATCACTGATAAAATAGTGATAGAGGATCACTGATAATAATGGTAGAAGATCACTGATGAAATAGTGGTAGAAGATCGCTGATAATAATGGTAGAAGGTCTCTGATGAAATAATGGCAAGAGATCACTGGTGAAATAGTGGTAGAAGATAACTGATAATAATGGTAGATGATCTCTGATGAAATAGTGGTAGAAGATTACTGATAGAATAGTGGTAGAAGATCACTGATGAAATAGTGGTAGAAGATCACTGATGAAATAGTGGTAGAAGATCACTGATGAAATACTGGTAGAAGATCACTTATGAAATAGTGGTAGATCACTGATGAAATAGTGGTAGAAGATCACTGATGAAATAGTGGTAGAAGATCACTGATGAAATAGTGGTAGAAGATCACTGATGAAATACTGGTAGAAGATCACAGATGAAATAGTGGTAGAAGATCACTGATGAAATGATGGTAGAAGATCACTGATGAAATAGTGGTAGTAGATCACTGATGAAATAGTTGTAGAAGATCACTGATGAAATACTGGTAGAAGATCACTGATGAAATACTGGTAGAAGATCACTGATAAAATAGTGGTAGAAGATCACTGATGAAATAGCAGCAGAAGATCGCTGATGAAATAGTGGCAGTAGATCACTGATGAAATAGTGGTAGAAGATCACTGATGAAATAGTGGTAGAAGATCACTGATGAAATAGTGGTAGAAGATCACTGATGAAATGATGGTAGAAGATCACTGATGAAATAGTGGTAGTAGATCACTGATGAAATAGTGTAGTAGATCACTGATGAAATAGTGGTAGAAGATCACTGATGAAATAGTGTAGAGATCACTGATGAAAATAGTGGTAGAAGATCACTGATGAAATAGCAGCAGAAGATCGCTGATGAAATAGTGGCAGTAGATCACTGATGAAATAGTGGTAGAAGATCACTGATGAAAATAGTGGTAGTAGATCACTGATGAAATAGTGGTAGTAGATCACTGATGAAATAGTGGTAGAAGATCACTGATGAAATACTGGTAGTAGATCACTGATGAAATAGTATCAGTAGATCACTGATGAAATAGTGGTAGAAGATCACTGATGAAATAGTGGTAGGATATCACTGATGAAATAGTGTCAGTAGATCACTGATGAAATAGTGGTAGTAGATCACTGATGAAATAGTGTCAGTAGATCACTGATGAAAAAGTGGTAGAAGATCACTGATGAAATACTGGTAGTAAATCACTGATGAAATAGTGTCAGTAGATCACTGATGAAATAGCGGCAGAAGATCACTGATGAAATAGTGGTAGAATATCACTGATGAAATAGTGGTAGGATATCACTGATGAAATAGTGGTAGAAGATCACTGATGAAATAGTGGTAGGATATCACTGATGAAATAGTGGTAGAATATCACTGATGAAATAGTATCAGTAGATCACTGATGAAATAGTGGTAGAAGATCACTGATGAAATAGTGGTAGGATATCACTGATGAAATAGTGTCAGTAGATCACTGATGAAATAGTGGTAGTAGATCACTGATGAAATAGTGGTAGTAGATCACTGATGATATGTGGAAGTAGATCACTGATGAAATAGAGTCAGAAGATCACTGATGAAACAGTGGTAGGATATCACTGATGAAACAGTGGTAGAAGATCACTGATGAAATACTGGTAGAAGATCACTGATGAAATACTGGTAGATAATTGATGAAATAGTGGTAGTTAAAAATCACTGATGGAATAGAGGTAGAAGATCACTGATGAAAAAGTGGTAGTAAATCACTGATGAAATAGTGGTAGGATATCACTGATGAAACAGTGGTAGAAGATCACTGATGAAATACTGGTAGAAGATCACTGATGAAATACTGGTAGATAATTGATGAAATAGTGGTAGTTAAAAATCACTGATGGAATAGTGTCAGTAGATCACTGATGAAATAGTGGTAGTAGATGATCACTGATGAAATAGCGGTAGAATATCACTGATGAAAAAGTGGTAGAATATTACTGATGAAATAGTGGTAGGAAATCTGATGAAATAGTGGTAGAAGATCACTGATGGAATAGTGTTAAAAGATCACTGATGAAATAGTGGTACAGGATCACTAAGATCATGTACAGAAACTTGTAAATAGATCACTAATACAAGTATCTGAGATCGCAAGTAAAAATTGATAGGCTAAAAATGCAAGATATATTTGTAAAGGATCACTGGTAAAACAATCACTTATCAAAACTGGTCAATAGATAACAAGTCAAAACAGTTAAATGATCAATAGTAAAAACTGGTTTAAAGATCACTAGTAAAAACTGTAAAATGACCACTAGTAAGAACTGGTAAAAAAATCACTATTTATCATTAGTAATAACCGATAAAAAGATCACTAGTCAAAACTGGTAAAAAGATCAATTGTCAAAACTAGTAAAAGGATCTCTAGTCATAACTAGTTAAAAGATCACAAGTCAAAACTAGTAAAAGATCATAAGTCAAAACTGGTGTAAAGATCACTTGCAAAAACTATAATTATTTCGTTTGAAATTACTGGTCTATATAAACATACTTACATGTGATAAAAATTACGTTTTCATCTTTTACAGGTAGTTCTTCATTTCGAACCAGACACAATGAGTTCAATGTCTCTAGAAGAAAGGCGGGCGGAGCGACGTCGTCGAAGACAGATGGAAGAAGAGTAAGTCTACTTTAATTTACATGTAGAACCCTGCCATGTTTAATTTAGAGGGTGATATTTACAAATGTAAGAAAAAATATACAGTAGCTTAAAACAGTGGGGCTCCTTTAATATCTCTCTATTATTAAATATCGACAGAATTAAATATTGACAGAATTAAATTTAAAGTAGGACATATTCATTATACATGTGAAGGTGTTGAAGGGTGAATTAGGATATCAATGTAAATGTTTGGCATGATGGAGTAAGTACTGACTGTTACTTTAAGCCCCAAACATTCTATCTTGAAATAACACTTTTATGTAACATATTCCTAGAATACAACATTTATATTGGCAGCTAATTGCTAATTGGGACTAAAAACTTAAGTTTTGCAACTTTACCTTGCAATTTTTATAACAAACTCTTTAATATAATGTTTTTTCCTTAAATGTTTACTATTTCACACAATATTTACAGTAATCGTAAATCAGTAAATTGTTTGTGGGCGAAATCCTTAACTAATTTAAATTCATATTTTAGAAATGTTATATGGTTGGTCTGTTGTTGTAAAACTGTAATAACATTGTTGAAATTTTTTAGTGCAATTAAATCTTTTACTAATTTTTGTGCATGCTTTTAATTTAAAATAACCTTACACTGTGATAAGAAGAATGTCTTTTTATTCTTTTTCCTTTCCTTTATAATAACATGTTTTGATATGATATTATCTGATGAAGTTAAGATGTTGCATGTATCTTATTAAGACATCAGTCCTCAAACTTTGTAAGAATATATACAAGGCGTATAATTATGAGGCCGTAAAAAATGGCTGCTTAACAGTAGAAAAATTCTTTAAAATTATGCAGTTTTCCCTGTATATTCAATTAAATCCAAGTTTTTTCTTTCTCTTTTGTAAAAATACCTTTTAAATTACCAAATTTAAGAGATTAGTGGCCCTGCCTGAAGAAAATCGGATTAGATACACATTTGGCAGAGTTATGACCCTTCACTCACTTCAAACTAGTATATATTGATGTTAAAACAATTATGTATGTTTCATATTGCAAAAAGTACATAGGACATAGAGGATATTGAATGAGTGTAAGTTCAATACTAAATTTATTGCACGAGTTGAATAAAATAATAATATGCGAGCCTCTGGCGAGTATAATATTATTTTATTCAACGAGTGCAATAAATTCAGTAATGAACTTACACGATTTTAATGTTCTATTTATCACATACCCAAAATAAAGACCGTTTCAAGTGATTCATTGACGCGCCTATAGTATAACGCTAACATTTAGCGCGTCTTTACACTATGATTGTATAACGCTAATGACGTCACGTCAAAATATATGCACGGCCGTGCAATACCATATTAACGGAGTCGCAAAATCGGCACGGGTGTGTGATAAAATTACGTATGTTTCATTTCGCAGAAAGTACATAAGACAATTAAGTGTGTTTTACATCACAGAAAGTACAATAAGATAATGATGTGTGTTTTCACATCATAGAAAGAAGATAGCAGAAAATACATATGTACATGTAATACTCCAGTCAGACTACTGTATAGCAGATTAAACAACCATCACAAAATACAAACTATTCTGACACTTTTACATTCTTTAGATTTATATCATGTTACTGAAAGATGATAAAATCACATATATCAAACATTATCTAGCATGGTTTATAATTTCATAAAAAAAACCATGCAAAGCAAAACTGAGCCGTTTTAAAGATGACAAAATTTAAAAGATAGAATTAGTAATGCTTGCGTTAGGGTAAAATCGTTTTAAGTAAGGAACATTAAACTTGTATTCAAATTTCTTAACTGTATTTTAAAGCTGTTACTCATGATTTAATCGTATTCCTCCTCAATAAAGATGACTCAAAATATGATTTACTTCATACAGATGTGGAAAGATAAACATTATAAGTCTTGAAATCTTATATTTGATAATGTTTTTTTTTTTGCTGACTGAAATTAAATTTCAAAAGTTTTTGTTGCGGAAAATTAACAGTTAAAACTAGTTTTGCATTGTAGTAGTACATGCCCATTCACTTTTCATAACTGTCCTGATTTACTTGCGATACTTGCATTTTTCAGCTGACCCATTAAAAAATGTTCATAATAAACACTAAGATAATTATTTGGCAGAATGGACTTAATACATTTAATGTACAAAAAATCATGTTTTTTGACATGCCAAATTGGTTTAAACATATTTATTAAAGCTTGATTGCGAAACAAGTTCTTGTGACTTATATTAATCTTTTTCGAGTCCGCGTCCTGGAACTAACCAGTGCTGGTGTCATATAAAGAAACATGGTCGTGACCCGATTATGGCTCAAACCTATGATCCCTGGTTGAGAGGCAGACACCTTAACAATGCCAAATTTTAATTGTATGATATATAAGCTTTTCCGTTTCTTCTAGAAATCATTTTGTTTATTCTACTTGTATTAAAGATACTGTAGATGTATCAGCACTTTTCCAGGGATTACATTATACATCTGTTCACCTTTAATCTAGTAATGAAAAGGTCATCAAGTACAGTAATTTATCTGAGATGTTAATCTTTCTTAGCAATCTAATGCTTAATTAATTCTGGTCAAAACATGTCTTCCTGTCATATTTTTGTAAACAGCAGGAAAAAAAAAAGATTATTTATACTTACATGTTTTCATTTTTATCTGAGCATATAATTAATATCTTCAATAAAAAACACATTTAGAGAAAGCTGTGGATGACAGAATAAACATTTGTCCAGAAATCATGTCTTACCATTATTCCCATCAACTTTTATCATTTTATTAGCCTGACCAATCATAATTAAGCTTTTTTTTCATGTTAGCCAATCAGAGGTCTTGATATATTTACTGCTCGTCACTGCAGTACTCTGTAATAGGTAATGTCCTTGACGGTGGCATATAAAGTTTCTGTTTTGCTTGTCAGACGTTCTGGCAGAGGAATCATAACACATTGTATTCATTGTTCCATGAGGCTTGGGACAGGATATCTGTACTCGACACAACAAAAACACTCTTAGTATTGGTCCTATAATATCCATTTCTTCTCATAATTTAATACATATCCAGATTTTTATCTCTCTGAACTTATAAAATTCAATTTGTTTGCTATACAGGTGTTCCTAGATTTTCAGCACAACAACTGTGCAAGCAGTTTTTAATACAAAACTATTAATAATTTTTTGGCAAGGAAATTGCTATATGTATGTACTCTTTGTTGTTATATTAATGCTTTTCCAGTCTGTTAGTGATAATATGTAAACCCCCTCTTGTTACCTTTTCGTCTAATAGAAAACAAAGCTTGTAGTCTCATTACACATTATTTTTTATGACAAGTATGATGGTAGGAATCTTTCGGGGGATAGATGGTTTTCAGGATTAGCTTATTTGCTAGAAGATTGGAACTGACTTAGTGCTCCACGTTTTCTTTCCCCCCTCCTCTTTTCTACTTGTGTTTCGATTCAGTGTGTATAGTGTGCTTGTGAAGACATTTGAGTCTCTGAATTTTTGGTGAGTGAAAAAAAAAATTGGATTTTAATCATAATATTGACTATTAATTAATTAATCAATCGAAAGTGGATTATATTTAATATGTTATTTTTTTTAAATTTGGTTTTATCTCAATGCAAGAAGATTATTTAATTGAATTAAAAGATAATTTTTAACAAAATATTAAAAAATGGATTACTTCTAAATGGAGTTTTTTCTTTAAAAAAAATGGGTGTATTAAGGAATGATAAAATAGAATTGTTGAATTTATTTTAAAAAACAGTGTGCTGTTGGATACTTGGTGCAAGTAGACCATTCACTGGGAATATTAATGCTGTAACACATTGATCAGGAGTATATGTTTTTAGATCTTATAATTTTTACTGAAATTATATTTTGCCATTAAAGGAACTCCACTGAGGTCCAAAAGTCTAAAAAAAAAAAAATTTCTTACATAGATCAGCTGGCGAACTTTAATAGAAATATTTATTAATGATTATTGAGAAAGAAATACTTTTAAAGCCATAATTTTGTGCTTATCTTTCATGCAAATGCTTTTCACTTGTACATGTATGTCATTTTCTATTGGAAAAACTGAGAGAGCGCATGATCTAGAATTTTGCATACAACTTAGTCTAGACCTACATCAAATGGAACATAAATTTTGAAAAAAATATTTCCAGTCCAGTTATGTCATAAAAACCTCAGTGAAGTCCCTTTAACCTGCTAAATTTCTTTAATGGAGTTGCCTTGTTTTAAATATGGGATGGCTCGTTTGAAGTATAGGAATTTCAGTATCAAAATTCCATGGGTATAGAGCCTGGACAGGATGCATTGATGTACAGGCTGGTCGGGCTCTATAGTGATTGACAAAGGCTTATTTGTTGCAGATTAAGTGTTAAACTTTTTTTTTTTGTCATTGAGTTGCTTTAATTATTTCTGCAAGTCATTTTGATCAGAAAAACACATTGAGCAGGTAAAACTTTGAAATCATAGGGGACAGGATAGTCCTTAAAGGGCCAGTTACACAGACGGTCCGTCCCCAATCGGTCATTTAATTATAAATTTACTCGCTGTTATGATCGGTTGTCATGCATGATTTTATTTCTGGTTTTTATGTGTAAACGGCCATCGGTGACAGAAAGCAAACTCAAACGGGGTTGGATCGGTGATAAAAATGCTGAAATACTATCGGTTTTTATCGTTTGTAAATCGGAGCTAAATCGGGCGTAACGCTGATGGTGTTTGATAGCTAGTCATCAGAGGTTAAACACTTTCCGTCAGATATGGCCGGTAATTCATATTTGGTTATCTTTGTCCGATCGGCGATATCGGTGATTAAGAGCTTGCCTATCTCGTGATATAAGTTGCTGTCGGTTATTAAAATTTTGTAAAATATTTTCACCGATCGAGAATTTTAAACATGTTTAAAAATCCCAATCTGTAATTTTTCGCCAATAAAACTTATCTTTCCCCAATAGTTGATAGGTGGAAAACAGGTGACCAATCAGGTGATATCGGTGTTTAATACGTTGTCATGGGTTCACTCCATGATTTGGCTAAAAAACTACCGATCAATCACCGATGGCTCTGTGTAACTGGGGTGTAATACTGACAAAATAACTATCTTTTTTCTGTATGAAAACTGAATTTTATATTTTGAAAGTAATAGTCAGCATTAAAGGGACTCCACTGAGATTTTTTGACATTGTGGGACTGGAAATATTTTTTCGAGATAAATGTTCCAATTCAATATGTGTATGATTTATGTATCCATTGAAGAAATTCTGTAGAAATAATAAAAGAAGATATTTATATATTTACATTATAATTTAAGACATCTCAATTCATTTTGATATATTAGAATAGTATGTTGACATATTACTTGTTTTAATGATATATCATTATTGTAGTTTATGTAATGTTGAGTGTCAATATAAGTTACTGTTCTTGATGAACAGATGTTTAAACATTTACAATGACAATTTTGATAAAGTAATTGCTTAAATATGTTAGTATAATATGTCAAACATCGAAACATCATTATCAAGTTAAACAAAAAGAAAAGAAAAGAAAGAAAGTTTTAAACCAAATTTTGAAAATAGGCCAACTTAACAACAGAACTCAGACATAAGAAATAAAGCAAAAAAGAAACACATTTGATTTAGAAATAAAGCAGACACAGACATGAAAAAAATACACATTTCAAAATGACTAGGCTTAAGAAATTTTATATAAAACAAAGAAACAGACATAAATAAAACAGACCATTAAAAATAACTGAAGCAAAGAAATGACAAAACTTAAGAAACAGACATAATGAATGAAACAAAGAAAAAGACATTAAAAAATAAAGCCATGAAACAGACATAAGAAATTAAGTAAAAAACAACAACCAAGAAACAGACATAAAAAATTAAGTAAAAAAAAAACAACAACCAAGAATCAGACATAAATTAAGTTAAAAAAACACCTACAAACAGACATAAGAAATAAAGCAAAAAAAAAAAAACAACAACAAAGAAACAGAGATAAGAAATTAAGTAAAGAAAAAAAAACCAAAGAAACAGTCATAAGAAATAAAGATAAAAAAAACAACCAAGAAACAGACATAAGAAATTAAGTAAATAAAAAAAAACAACCAAGAAACAGACATAGGAAATAAAACAAAGAAATGACAGGCTTAAAAAACAAGGCAAAGAATCAGTTTAAAGGGGAAAGTAAACAAAGAAAAGAAGTTAAAAAATAAAGCAAGAAAAAGGCATAAGAAATAAAATAAAGAAACAGACATAAGAAACAAAGCGTTAAACAGACATAAGAAATAAACTAACAAAATAAAGCCAGGAAACAGACATAAATAAAAAAAATATATGACAGGCTTATAGAAGTAAAGCAAGAAAAGACAGGCTTTAGAAATAAAGCAAAGAATCAGATTTAAGAAATAATACAACTGAAGATTTAACTAACTTAAGAAATAAAGCAGAGAAACAGACTTAAGAAACAGAGCAAAAGAAATGACAAACTTAAGGAATAAAGCAAAAAAAAATAAACATATTAAAGGAATAAAGCCAAGAAACACACATAAAATATAAAGCAAATAAAATAATAGTCATAAGAAATAAAACAAAAAAAACAAACAAACAAAATAATCAACAAATGTCTGATACAAGTAAAGTAAAGCAAAAGAAAAAGACATCAGAAATGCAGCAAATAAATAGATATAAGAAATAAAAGCAAATTATCAAACACAAGAAATAAAGGAAGCGTAGCTAAGTGGTTGACACGTCAGACTAGTAATCTAAGGAATGCTGGCAATGTGTGTTTAAACACATCAGGGGCAAGCTGTTTTTTTTTCATGAGCAAGAAACTTTACACTCATTGCTTAGTACTTTTTGGTTCCAGAGAGGGATTCGAGAGTGTTTCAATAAGCTTATAGCTTCCAACACAATAAAACTAAAATAAATTTGTATGACTAAACAAGGAGTAGGAACCTGATTTCAGAAACAAAACATTAAAGCATCTTGGCATTGAACCTCTTGGTGAAAAGGGTGATGAAACTACTGACAATATGACTAAATGTGAGGGATTGAGGAGGATTGACCTTACATGAAAGACTGAGCAAACAATCATTTTAGCTAAAGAATGAAACAAAAGTAGACATTAATGCCAGGGACATCTTGAGTCAATCTACTTTGCTTGGTTAGGAATTTTGGCTTGCCTAGTTATTTGTTGTTTTCCTTGAAGATATGTTCTGCATTCATCAAGGACTTAATTGACAGCATTGTGTCTGACATAAACCTAAACTCTCATTTATTCTTCCAGAGAAATGAATTAGCTGTTACTTGTCCCTAAGGGTACTAAGCTGTAAATTCCTTGATAACTGCTACCTGGATATATATTCCAGAAGTGTATTGATAAAAGCAGTAAAATATGTAAAAGATAAGCTGCTTATAGAAGCCCTGCACATCTGAACTGCAAACATTTTGTTATATATGCTCATAATATATGACAGAAAGCAAGATTTTATTACTCCTTTCAGATACATAAATTGATATTCACTGGTCTCATTTCCCTGAGTTTTAAGACCACCTTTGTTAAGTGACCATTTTCCTACAGTCACATTCCCATTATAAAGGTAGTGAAAACTGTAAAAATAGAAATCATCTTCATTTAATACCATCAATATTCTTCAATCTTTTTATTATTCTTTTCAACAAACTAAAGCTTTATATCTGGTACCAGTAGTTCATAAAATTTTGTTTTGACATTCTATTAAACCAGACCTTTCAAAATATTCTGTTTTGGATATGTAATAGTTCTAACGATTAAGAAGATACTTAATTGTACAGAACATTATACGTTACGTCAAATGTATGATCAGTCAAATGTTGTTAGAACATACTTATGTTACAACTTTTTTGGGAATTGATCATCTGATTATTGATACAACATATTTTTACTGTTTATTGATTTTATAAAAATATTTCATTAGATATAGTTTTGTACCCTCAGTAAACATTGTTCAGCAAACTTGTTCCGGCATAGCTGAGTAGGACATCACTAGCTGTGTGGGTTCAAAACCCAGTCAAGTTCCTTGAGCAAGAAACTTTAAACTTGTTGGTTCCATGAACAAATTCAAGAGTATGTCTTTATAACAAGCTTTGCCTTCCTACACAATGGATCTAAAATAAAATTTATATAAATGGCATATTATACATGTATGTTGACAGCAATGTTGTACCCTTAGCAAGAACTTTAGAATAGAATGCACATAATAATTCTGCAAATCTTCAATAACAATCCCAAGATTTATATTTATCATGATGCCTGGGGAGATAATTAGTTGGAGTTAGGATAGTAATAATTCTACAGTAATTGATACAATATGTGTAGTGTGTACGAACCAGTCTGTACCACTGTACTTGTCTACATTATTCATACCTATCTTTGGGTATTGTTCTGTATACAATTAGGGTTATATTTTTATAAATGTTTGTAATATAATATCAAAGCAAAAGAAAACTTTGTTGTTTTTTTCATACATGATTTGAAATCGAATCAAAACACCATATCAAAATTGTCAACATTACAAAAGTACATGTAGCATTGATAGAATTCTTAAAAAAACAAGTGGTCTGTTTGATCATTTTTACACAAATTAATGAAATGACTTTTTTAAATATATCTATTTTGACTTGTCAGTTTTGTCATATTTTGTCCAAATATGACTTACCAACAAAGTTAAGACAGTATAAGCAAAATTTAATAATTTGACCTTGACAGTCAACATCATTTTTAAAGGTCAAGGTCATATTTGAATTATTCAACATGTTTTTTACCTGTAATTCAGATACTTTAGTTTAGGCTTAATGAAACCAAGAAAAAAAAACTTGGATATGTATGTCAAAACAAACTCAGTAAAATTCACAGTAAAATATTAACAGTTCACTTACTCATATCATATTGAATCTTTAAAATGTCAAAAGCTAGCCACTTATCATGTCATGTCTAATCAAAGTTAAAAACTAGACATTGATTCTTCAAAGATATTCTCATTTCATATTGTTTCTTAAAATATCAAAAGTTAGCCTTTTATTCATGCCATATTTTGTAAATGTCAAAAACTAGCCACTAATTCATGTCATAATCTGTAAATGTTAAAAGGTTGATCACTTAATCATGTCATATTCTGTAAATATCAAAAGCTAGCCACTTATTCATGTCATAATGATAATCTGTAAAATGTCAAAAGGTAGCCACATATTCATGTCATATTATGTCAATGCCAAAAGCTAGCCACTTATTCATGTCATTTTCTGTCAATGCCAAAAGCTAGCCACATATTCATGTCATATTCTGTCAATGCCAACAGGTAGCCACTTATACATATCATAATGAATATTTAAAATGTCAAAAGCTAGCCACATATTTATATCATATTCATTCTGCAAATGTCAAAAGTGTACCACTTATATTGACTTCTAAATATGATAAAGTTGGTTATTCATCAATTGTCAATTGCTGGCCTCTTTATTTAGATCATTTTGACCGTTTCCAATGTATTATGCCCTATTTAGCCTAAAACTGTAAAACTCTGTTACTTGATAATTGTGGTTTATACATGTAACTGGATTTAATTTATAGAATTGAATTCATTACTCTTTTTGTTTTGCATGTGTGTTTTGTGCATGGTAGAAATAACTATGGTGGAACTAAGTCAGCAGATGAAATTCATGCAAGTGTCCAGGAACGTCTAGCACGTCGCAGGAAGGAACGAGACGAAAGAATGGCTAACATGTATGCATGTCTTGTTTGGTTTGTTGCATGAGTTTTTATTCTTTAATCACAACAAAATTGTAAGAGGCCTTGACAATAACATTATTAGAAAGAAATATTTTTCTTCCTTTCTTTGAAAAAACAACAAACATTAGAAAATAATGTGAAGAAATAATGTTAGACAAGGTTAAGACAGAAGCCTTTTGTTGATAATCAGTGTTAGATAATGTTGCTTGACAAGGTTAGTACCCTCTGTAAACAACCAGTGAAATACAATGCTAGGCAGGGTAACTTCTTAGAACAACCAGTGCAAAACAATGTTAGGAAAGGTACCCTCTGTTAACAACTAGTGCTAAATAAGGTTAGGTGAGGTACTCTCCATAAATAACCAGTGCTAAAAAGATCAGGCAAGGTACCTTCTGTAAACAACCAGTGCTAAAAAGATAAGGCAATGTACCCTCTGTAAACAACCAGTGCTAAAAAGATAAGGCAAGGTACCTTCAGTAAACAGCCAGTGCTAGAAAGATAAGGCAAGGTACCTTCTCTAAACAACCAGTGCTAAAAAGATAAGGCAAGGTACCTTCTGTAAACAACCAGTGCTAAAAAGATAAGGCAAGGTACCTTCTCTAAACAACCAGTGCTAAACAAGGTTAGACAAGGTACTCTCTGTAAACAACAAGTGCTAAAAATATAAGGCAAGGTACCTTCTGTAAACAACCAGTGCTAAAAAGATAAGGCAAGGTACCTTCTGTAAACAACCAGTGCTAAAAATATAAGGCAAGGTACCTTCTGTAAACAACCAGTGCTAAAAAGATATAGCAAGGTACCCTCTGTAAACAACCAGTGCTAAAAAGATCAGGCAAGGTACCTTCTGTAAACAACAAGTGCTAAAAAGATAAGGCAAGGTACCTTCTCTAAACAACCAGTGCTTAAAAGATAAGGCAAGGTACATTCTGTAAACAACCAGTGTTAAAAAGATAAGGCAAGGTACCCACTGTTAACAACTAGTGTTAGACTAGGTGAGGCAAGGAACCCTCTGTAAACAACCAGTGTTAGACAAGGTTAGACGGGATATGCGCTGTTTGCAACCAGTGCTATTCAAGTTAAGGTCAAGGTACCCTCTATAAACAGCAAGTACTAGACAAGGTTAGGCAAAGTACCCTCTGTAAACAAACAGTGCTTGAAAAAGTTTTATGGCAATGCACCTTCTGTAAACCACCTGTGTTAGGCAAAGTTAGGCAAGGTACTCTCTGTAATCAACCAGTGTTGGAGAAAAATAAGCAAGGTACCCTCTTAAAACAATTAGTGCTAAGCAAGGTTAGGCAAGGTACCCTCTGAAAACAATCAGTGCTTTACAAGGTTTAAGACAAGGTACCCTTTGTAAACAACCAGTGCTAGACAAGGTAAGGCAAGGTACCTTCTGCAAACAAGTGCTTGACAAGGTTAGGGAAGGTACCCTCTGTAAACATCCAGTGTTAGGTAAGGTTTAAGGCAAGATACCCTCTTTAAATCAATTTTTACCTGCCTTTAATAACAATTATTAATATATTCAATATGAGATTTTTTATCAAATCTTAAGGGATTGAATTATTGCATGAATAAGATAAAAAGGAACACAGTTTTAGGAATAATTATCATAACAGCAGTATGCCCATGTGTGGCAAACAAGATAGAGAGAATCTTTCAAGACTTTGTAAATTGGATTCAAATAGTCAGAATTATCAGTTATAATTGATAGGCAGTTTGAAACTATTTTGAGTTTCAAGTTTTGTGCAAAAAAAATTGTTTAAATCATTTTATCTGTTACTGTAATTGAAATGATAAACTGTATGTAAACAGATTTCAACTTTGCTGCCTGTAAAACATATTTTCCTAGTCTGTCTGTAAATTATACATTTCACATAAATGTTCTTTTCCCTGACTGCCAGTTTCCATGCAAAAAAAACTAGAAGCTTATAACTTAAGGTACTTCACTTATCTGTAAACTGGTTACACATTATTAATACTGAAGTCAAAGGATGTATAAACATATAGAAAACATCAAAAGATATATGATTGTAGGCAGACATCTGAAAAATTGTTTCATGCATAAACATTGTAGTTATATAAATAGACTAACATACCTGGTAAAATCATTATATTTGTTTGTTATTATCTTAGAATAGATACATTCTTTTGTAATATTAGCCAGGAGTAGCCAGAATGACCTGAATTTTGAAGATAATTTCTTTCATCTCTGGCACCTTTCTGTTTAACTCTTTATCCTTGAAAATGATTCTTGTCCATCTTTCAGTATTGCCAAAACCATTCATTATATTTAGGAAAAATTTCAGAATATGTGCTGATTGATCTATCAAACAGTGCAGACCATGATCAGATGGCATGGGGTTGAAGCTTCACAATGTAAGGGTTGCATGGGAGGGGGTATTTGAAGCTTCACAATGTAAGGGTTGCATGGGAGGGGGTATTTGAAGCTTCACAATGTAAGGGTTGCATGGGAGGGGGTATTTGAAGCTTCACAATGTAAGGGTTGCATGGGAGGGGGTATTTGAAGCTTCACAATGTAAGGGTTGCATGGGAGGGGGTATTTGAAGCTTCACAATGTAAGGGTCTCTGAGAAAGCCCTTGTAACTCATTATTGATAGAAAGGTTACTAATTTATTGCTTGATTACTTTAAAATAGCAGTTGAAAACCTTTTTCTCATGATACTATGTCATACATATTAGCTTAAGTTTAAGATTATTGCCAGCACATTTTAAAACAGAATGTCAAAGGTCAAATAATGGAATAAAATTATAGCTTTTAAAAGAAAGAATAAAATAATCTTAAGGCATATTGTATGCCAGTTCTTAGGTTGAAGGTCAAAGGTTGTGGAGAAATTTAATAGGGTCAAAGGCTTGCAGTTTTATAATCGAAAATCATTTCCGGTTGGATGATTGATAATGGTCAGAAATTGGATTCCATAAATTTTGTTTTATTTGGTTATAATTCCTTTGTATACTTCAAGTAATATTTTGATGTTTTAAAAACAGTGTATATTCATATCTTCGAACAGCAAAATTTTGTTTAACGTTAAGGTACGTTTATATTTAGTGATATTTCATAAGTAAACCTTGTAAAAGTGGAAATATATATAAAACATAAAATACTTATTAATATACCTATAAGCTAACAGATATTAAATAATCAAATAAACATTTTTGTATGGTTATCATTCTGAAGAACAGAAAACAGGTATTATAAATATAAATCATTCATAGAAAATGTATGCCTTAATATATAGGAATTATAAATCATTCATAGAAAATGTATGCGTTAATACTTTACAGTTTTCATTTGTTTTCAAACAGAGCACCATGAAATCTGTACATCAGTAATAACAATTTACTATAGAGTTATGGCCCTTTGCCAGTGTTACCATAGCGACGCAAAATGTAGATGATTTAAATTTCTTTGCTTTGTGGGTTCTTAACTAACCTTAGAATAGCATGTTGTGTACAGAAAACTACAAAAGCTCGCAAAAAAAGTACATGGCACAATCCCAGGTATTCTAAACGCTTTCAAAAATATCACGAATCATCCGAAAATAGTGTCTTAACATTGATAAAACAAGAGATAAATTATTTACTGATCTGATCGTTGATTTCTATACTTCATTTCTTCAGTTGTTGTCAAAATTGGGGTTTCCACGTGGTAAGCTAAAAAAAAAAAAAAAACTCGCTAATCATCAGATAGGTTGAAATATTACAATTTCGATAATTTTGGTTCATTTTAGTTAATTGAGTTAATAATGCTAAATTCCGTAGTGAAAATTGATTGACAAAAACAGTGCTGAAAGTTAAAACAATAAATGATATGTACAGTATGTGCAAATGTATGTCAACTTATGATTATTTTTGAAAACATTTCAGTTTTGATAAATACATGGTTTTTAGGTAAAAAAAGCAGTTAGCAATACATATTTCAAGGATTGAAAGAAACATTTTATATTGCTTAATCAAAAAAGAAAAAAACAAAACAAATAACAATAACAACAAACAACAAAGGAAACTTCTCCACCCAATTTCCTCTAATAGAAACTATACAAACAAAACAAATATTTGAATGAAAGCATAATGATGTAAATTATCCAGCTGTTGTTTGCACATAATATTGCATGACATTTTTATATCTTCCTGCGTTGTTGTTGTCAGAAAACAGACTTCTTCACTCACAAACTTTATGCTTTGTTTAGGAATTTGACAAAGTAGCGAAACAACAGCCCTCTCGTTTAATGATCTAGAATAGAATTAATATGGTATAAAATGTCAAATTATCAAAGTAATTTCAGTGGGTACTTAAAATGATGTGCATAATGAAAATTGGGATGAAATAGGAAGTTATTCCTGGATTTAATGTCTTTCTTTGCAATAGATTGTAGATGTATTAAACCTGTTTGACTCATAATCTAAATATTGCTGGGTTTGAAACCCCTTCATGGTCAGTCCCGGCAAGGTACACTAAGTGCAAAGTACTGGTTCAATGGTTCCTGGGAATGGATTTTGTGTGTCTTATAGCTTCTCACACAAGCAAATTAAAATAAATTCTGAATAAGGTAAACCCCAATGGACAAAATTTAATACCCACCCTGTAAACTTTACATTATTACATTAGCAGATATTGACCCAGGGGCAGGGTAGGTGGGGGATGGGCTTAAATGAGGTTTTGATTTCAAGATTCTTATTTTTACCAAGGATATTTCCGTTGGTTTCCTTTAACTTTTTGATAGTTTGTTTTTTGTGTGAAGTTTTATGTAGCAAAGATTGTTTTATTTAGTCGTGTAGTGGTGTGATGCAAAATAACTGTTTGATGATAACCTGTGTGAATTTCCTGTGTTTAGAGCCGCCAGTGTCGCAACGGTGAATGGAGAAGACGACCTTGAACGTAGAAGGAGAGAGAGAAGAGAACAGCGTCTAAGGCAAGGCTATAATACCGATATGAGCCGCGTCACAACAAAACCAACATAATGGTTTGCGACCTGTTCGCTTACAAATCCTATTACAAGTAGAGAAACTGATAGCGAACAGCATGGATCCTGATCAGACTGCGCGGAGGCGCAGTCTGGTCTGGATCCATGCTGGTCGCAAACCCACTATGTTGGTTTTGTCATGACGCAGCTCATATATTCTTTTATATTTAATAGTTTTGATTTTTGTGTGATTTACTGAAACATTAACAGAATTGCTAACATAACTATTTGGAATTTGCTGTGGTGTTTAACCCTTTACCATGCCCTATATCTTATGCAAATGTCCCATCTTTCATTCTGGATAAAACTATTCATCATATTTTGTGAAAATTTCAAAATATGCATATTATGTATTAGGGTATGTTGAAACAGTTGTCATAAATAAGTTGCCTTTTTCCCCCAATTCTAACACTTACTGCTATAGCTAGCTTACAGAATGTCGGTGGTTCTACTCGGGTGGCACCCTCGTGCCCGAAATAATGAATGGAGGGAGGTGCACATGTGGTCTTTCTCCACCAGTAAAGCTGGAAAGTTGGCATGTGTCAGTGTGACATAAAGACTCATCCAAACACCCCAAAAAGTAACATTTTGATATAGAATTTACATATACAAGTGGTATAGATAAATATTATGTATATAGATAATGCGGAACTCGGCAAATGTTGCTTTTTCCCTTATAGTCCTGGGGTAAAAAAAAAACATTTACCATTAGAGCTTGGTTAATATATTTATATTAAGAGCAATATGTTGATCACCCTATTGTGAACAGTAGTGCACCATGATGCTGTAATGGTTAAAAGCTTGTTTGTACCCAGAGATTAGATGGGGGAAACCCCACTTCAACTGAGTTCAGGATAACATCTATTGACAATCTATGACAAATTGTATGAACTTTCATTCATACTTATTTTCAAAACATAATTATATTCACAGTATATATTACCACATGTATACTATTGCACATTAAGTGAAGTTGTTGGCACTGAATGATTCAGACTGGAGCGGAAATGAAACACATGTTGATTTCATATCAGTTAAATCTTTTCTATTTTGGGTTGTGTAGAAATCATTTATTAGAAATTAAAGCATAAAATTTTTATGGTCTTTGATTGTGCCAGAATTATACCTAGCTCAGAAGAAATTATTTGGTTATGCTTATATCAGCAGATCTGACAGATCAAAAAATGATTGGTCTTACAGTCATTTGGTGCATAGTCATAATCACCATTTCGTTTCCTTTCAATAAATGTAGATGCTTGTGTCTGTAAACGTTGTATAGCACAAAGGTCGAGGTTAAAATGAGTTTGTGACACTGTATCAGTTGTTTAATAATAAATAAATATCTTTATAGGATGACCTTTTGGTTTGGGTAACACTAAATAGGTCAAAGGTCAAGGACACATTAATGCTGACATTTCAAACTGCATCTTTTCAGTACCTGCCAAACTCCATAGTCTGAAAGTAGAAATGCTTAATAAATGAGCAAGTAATTTGGCCATGTGGTGCCCTAAATCATTGTTATTATGAAGAGAGCCTGTTATCACTAAAAAACTCATTCCATTTTATGGGTCCAAATAAGGTCAAGGTCAATATAAGATCAAAGTCCTTAGAATACAAAGATTTAAGATTGATTTTGCTGAATCAATTGATGGAGAAAGGTAAAAGTTCTTTAAGTTTAAAGCCAGTTTCTATTCTCTATGTCATGTGATCACCGATGGTCCTAATATTGTCCAAGCTTTCATTTGTCTAAGCTCATCTTAACTTGTCTGAAAACTATGTAAGACTAAAGTCACTTTCTAATTTCTTGAAAGCTGTGTAGGGTGTGTATGGAATAAAACTTGTCAAGAACTTGCTCTTTGAATGAAGGGTCAATAAGTCTCTATCTCAAAATGTTAAGGTGATCTTTAAAGGTCATGTGTCAGATACAGGTAAATATATAGCTTTTGGATATCATTTTCCTTTACCTAGAACACACATATCATCTTCCCTGGTTATGATCGCTTTCTCTTGTTTTAATAATATTTCAGTAGTACTTTAACAAAATCTAAATGTCTATAAGAATATGCCAGTATAGAACACAGTTTTTAACTTTCTTGATTTAAAAATAATTTGCTCTATGTGGCTGAGGGGTTGCTTTTACAGATTGAGGCCTCAGAATTTCAGCCACTGATTAACCCTGTGTGGTCATAAGAGGCCACTAAATGGGTTCCAATTATTCTAGTCTATGCATCTCTTAGCTCCAGCAGGTGAAGTGGTTTTGACTCCTGGTGTTGCTTAAAGTTTTTAACACCCATTGTTACTCAAAATCATCTTTCCTGTTTTGATGACCAAAATTGTGTAGGTGCGCCATAAAACCAAACAAAAATAACAAAACAGAACAAAAAATTCTTTTATATACATGTTAATGAATAATTGTGTTAACTGAAAGTATTTTTACATTGAAGTAAACTATAAGAGAAAAATGAAATGTAACCTGTGTTATGAAATACACAGAAAGAATACATTTGTTTAAATTAAACTCTCGTTAAACTGACAGTAAATAAACTGGTAAAATGAGAGCTATATACAGGGGTCAATTAGAATGTAACTTATCCTATTTTGTTATTTAGTTTATTTGTTAGTGAATACGTCAGTTTAGTTTATGCAAAATAAATGTTTTTTATATAAGTCTTATGGTGACCTGTAGACAGTAAATGTACATTAGGAGTGGGGATGGTGAGATAGAATTATGAAACTTCTTGAAATACTAGATGACAAAAAGTTCTGTTTTTGACCAATTAATAATGCTGAAATTGTCTAAGGTTATGCTGTTCATAACCTAACAATGAAGGTGAATTTTTCAATACCTTACATTATAGATGTATTTTTCATGACCGAATTTTTCATGAAATTAAAATGATGGTAAATTTTACATGAGACTTTAAAGTAGATGAATTTTTCATGGCCTTATGATGAAGGTCCTACCACATATGTTGTTGAATTTTACATGAGACTACAATATTGGTGAATCTTTCATGACATTACAATGTAGGTGAAGTTTTCAGGAAATTACAATGTAGGTAAATTTGAATGTATTAACAGTTTTGTTTTATTGACATATTACAGAGCCTCTGGTGATACAGATTACACTGCAACAGACGACTATAGTTCTCGTCGTAACAGACGTCGTGGCACAGACGACGACACTTCAGAGGTAATATTTTATTGTATTATTTCTGTATATTACATGATTGTTTCGTTTCAAAGTCACACAAATATACAAAATACCCGTCAATGAAGAACCAGGAGCTGAAGTAGAAACCAAGTAGATCATAAGGTTTGAGCATTGTATTTGACACAGTTATAGATACTGTGTTGATACTCTGGGTTGCATTTCATTCTAAAATATGTCTTAAGACCAAAAGTTGAAAACTGAGATAATTTTAATTTCAATGAAAATGTTTATTACTTATGACTCTTATGTTAAGACTCAATTTCTGAATAGTACATGCATGTAGATGAACATTTACACATTGCAGACTGAAGCTTGTGCCATTGTATTTTGTCAGTTTTCACAGCATAATGAATTAGATAAAAGTCTAAAACATTTACTAAAGATGATGATATTTATTAAAACAGTCCCACATGTAAGTCAGTCCTATAGTTTGTCATAAGTCTTAGGAATTAGGATACACTCAGGACTTTCTCTGAAACGCAGCCCTGAACTCAGCATGATGGTGTTCTAATGAAAACTTCAGGATGAGCTATTATTGTAGGAATATACAGTAAATTATTATACCCCCAAAAACGAAGTTTGGGGGGGTATATAGGAGTCACCCGGTGGTCGGTCGGTCGGGCGGTCGGTCGGTCGGTCCAGACGTCCGTTGCATTTTCCTTGTCCGGAGCATAACTTGAAAACTAATGATTGGAATTCAATATAACTACACACAATGGTCTAGCACATTGAGAGGAAGTGCAGTGCACAAGAACCATAACTCTATCTAAAGTAATTACAGAGTTATTGCCCTTTGTTACTTTTCCATTCCTTTCTTTTGTCCGGAGCATAACTTGAAGACTAATGGTTGGAATTCAATATAACTACATACAATGGTCAAGCACATTGAGAGGAAGTGCAGTGCACAAGAACCATAACTCTATCTTGACTAATTACAGAGTTATTGCCCTTTGTTTATTTTCCTTGTCCGGGGCATAACTTGAAAACTACTGGATGGAATTCAAAACAACTTCATACAATTGTCAAACACAATAAGGGGAAGTGCAGTGCACAAGAACTATAACTCTATTTAAAGTAATTACAGAGTTATTGCCCTTTGTTACTTTTCCATTCCTTTCTTTTGTCCGGACCATAGCTTGAAGACTAATTGTTGGAATTCATTATAACTTAATACAATTGTCAAGCACATTGAGAGGAAGTGCAGTGCACAAGAACCATAACTCCATCTTGACTTATTACAGAGTTACTGCCCTTTGTTACTTTTCCTTGTCCAGAGCATGACTTGAAAACTACTGGTTGGAATTCAAAACAACTTCATACAATGGTCAAGCACAATAAGGGGAAGTGCAGTGCACAAGAACTATAACTCCATCTTGACTAATTACAGAGTTATTGCCCTTTGTTACTTTTCCATTGCTTTTTTTGTCCGGAGCATAACTTGAAAACTAATAGTTGGAATTCAATATAACTTCATACAATTGTCAAGCACATTGAGAGGAAGTGCAGTGCACAAGAACCATAACTCGATTTTGACAAAATACAGAGTTACTGCCCTTTGATACTTTTCATTGTCCGGAGCATAACTTAAAACATACTGGTTGGAATTCAAAACAACTTCATACAATGGTCAAGCACAATAAGAGGAAGTGCAGTGCACAAGAACTTTAACTCCATCTTCAGTATTTATAGAGTTATTTATTGCCCTTTGTTTCTTTTGCTTGTCTTTCTGGACTTATTACAGAGTAATTCAATAAAACTTCATCAATGGCCAACTACATTGGAAGGAAATGCAACATACAAGAACCACAACTATCTTTTATTGCCCACAACCATAACTCTATATTTTAATTCTTTTACAAGGTATTCTGTTACTAGTAACATCCTCATTTCTGAAGCAGTCTTGTGGGGGTATTAATCACATTTAGTGATAGTTCTAGTTTGATTGGTTATGTTTTTGTTTCAGCAATTATCTACAGTTTTCTTTAAAATTTGGTTAATTTTGGCTTCATCTTTTAGGCTATTACTTTTGATTTATTCACTCACACCTGGGTAAATGGGTCCAGGTCCTCTCAAAAAATTTTAATGTAAATTTTTAGAGATGTGAAATTTGGTAAACTGAGGATGAAAAACAGCCAAATATGATTCTTTAAAGCATTATTTTGGAGAAAAATGCATTTTACATTGTCTGTACGATATCACAATTAAATATATGTTTGAAAGAAAGAAATTTAAAATGAATAATAAATTAGTCTTTATCCTAAGTAATAAAATTAACATGTTAATTATCAAATATGCACAATCATGTGTTTTTATACAATATTAATTGAGTTTTTTAAAAAAAAGGTTTTATAAATTATGTATGAATAAAATAGGAATCTTGAAGCCACAGGTTATAACTGTATATGATATATAATTTTTATATGATACTTTTAACGAAGATAATTGAATGATTAAAAAAGTTGAAAGTCATTAGAATTTAACTAAAAAACCTGTCAAATAATGTTTTACAGTAATTTCTTAAAAAAAATATTCAAATAAAGAATCAATTCTTGGGGGGTAAAAGTAAAGATAATTTTGCCGTTTTGCTAAATCAGCAAAATTAACAAAGTTAAAAGATGGCAATTTGACAGTAACGCTATTTGTTGGCTGTGTATTGGCATGGTAGACAATCTGTTCTCAATACATATATATGATATGATATGTGCCAACATTTTGCTTTCATTTTCTGGCACAGGTAGTGTGTAAATACAAGTTTTTTCCGTCTCCTTTTCAAGTTTTAGTTTAAATTCTGTAATAATAAGATGAGAATAATGTTTGTTGTTAGGAACTTAAAGACATTATTGTTCAGTCTGCACTCATCTAACAGATATAAGCAATTGATAGTCTGCAAAAGATAGTCCTGGTCACACTTAAGGATTGCTTTGGTCATGATGAGTGAGTGAAAAATAAGATGAAAAGACAAAAAATAACCAGAAGAATTTTCAATCCGTCCTACTCAGAGTTGGACCTAAATTCTTAATTTTTAGTTATGAATGTATTGTTATTGGCACATGATTTTTAATTAAGCATCTTGTGACCAAGTTATGTAGCTCTGACTTATTATTAAACACCCCATGCCGGCACTGTCAAAGACTGATGGATATAGATTTGGTATTGTAGGTTTAAAAAAATCTGATAAAAAAAATTTAAAAGCAAAATTAAATTTTCTCTTTATATAATTATGTAAATATATGAAATACTTAAATTAAAGAAGAAAAAAAATCAGTAAAAGCAGAATAAAAAAATGAAAATCTCTTTTCACAATTGAATTGAGATTTTATATTGGGTGTACTTCATAATATGATATGATATTGCACACTTACTCCCACCATAAATTGACTGGAGGTCCTAGGTTTCAAGAAGTTCTCTTTACATTCCCCAGCCTTCTGTTTTCCTTTTATTTACATTACATGACATTTTTGTAATTGCTTCTATTTGAGAAATGTTTGATGTTAATGATTTTTCAACCGTCAACAAATAGTCTGTAAAGTTTCTAGCTAATGGGCAAAAATAATGGCAGACTGATAGTGCTACTCAATAAAAGTCATTGCAAAACATCTTCTCAGAGGTTTTCAGTTTTTCCGCAATTCTGCAAAAAAATTAGCTAACTTCCTCTGCATATAATTGAAGAAATATACATTTTGTAAGTAATGGAAATTACAGACGGTTATTTGGAACGATGTTACCTAGGAAGCAGGTATTATATTTATGATAACTGAGTGCAAACGCAGCAGTGGCTGGAAATCTTCAGTGATATTTTAATGTTTTCTCCCTAAATAAATGTATAAAGTTAAAGAAATAGCGTGGGTGAACTGTTGGCTCTTTATTTCAATTAATTTTATGTGTAAGAAATGTTCAAAGTAATTAGAATGTTTGTATAGAAAGTTTATAGGTATAACAGAAGGTTCTGGCAACACTTTGAAATGGTTTCTAGGGAACGTTTTTTTTTTTATAGGTATTTGTTGAATAAACAGACAAACCCATTCGGCAAATTGAATTACACAAATTCCTACAGATATGTGTTGCTTATTAAGACTGATTACTTGACATTTTGTCTTAATGTTATATGAAACAAATCTTTATTGTTTGATAAATGTATGACAGAATTCATATTGGTATCTTTATTATGCTGCTATTCATATCCTTTATAAATAATACTTTTCTACTTTATTATATGTCTGCATTGATTGATAATCAGTGGACATCATAATATATTTACTTTTCATTGGTCAATTTATTTCTTGGTTTGTCACTCTGACCTTGGTAATTATACTCACAAGTTAGAATCATCTTACTTAAACACATGACTGCTTTATTAAAGATGATTATTGAAATATGACGTTGTGACCTTATTGACCTTGAGTCCTTGACCTTCAAGGTCAAATTTGCTTGATTCTGGTAATACTGTCATGATAGACATGAACAATATAAAATCTTTGGTTTAAATTTTATTTCCACACAGGATACATTTAGTTATAGTAGTTATCGTTCAAGGAGAGAAAGAAACTACGAGGAGGTAACCATAACAACTGTATACATGTTATCTGTATTTCACTATTTTATAATATATATTGTTATAATCTTTATTATTATTGTATATAAATTCACAATACCAAGCTTTTTATAACTATAGCACTGCAGCAAAGGTTTAACTATAGCAACTGTACCTGATGTGTATGTCAAGGTCACATACCAAATAGATACATTTAGTATTATCATTTAAGATTGGTTAGATTTCATTTTATGATTTATAGTAAGATAGAATATGAGATAAATTAATCATTTACTCAAAAGACTAACTTAAAAAGATGAAACTGGACCTTACTATAACAAAACTATTGCTATAGTTACCTTTGTAAACAAATATTTGTTCATGAATTGTCAAATTAAATTCTGATGGTGTATGCATTTTGCTTCACAATGCTAAACCAAAAGTTGATTGCTTTTAACTAGATGTGTATGGTATTCAGTGGTTTATGCTGGTTGTTATGTGAACAACATGGATTAATACGATTGGAAGTTAATAAAAAAATGAATCTATTAGAACAACTCTTTAAAAATCACTACTCAGAATTATTTTTGGAATTCACATATACTTTTGTGTTTTAAGGTTGTTTTACCTCATAATAATTCACCTGTACGTACTTTGAATTATATAAACCCTATTCCACAGGTAAAATTCCAGTTACAACAAAGATTTTATGTAAATTAAATGCAGAATTAACCTTTAACCTGTTGGGACTGAAATTGATTAGCCTTTGCCACCAGTATAGAGCTGCCAAGCCAGTCTGAACTTTTGTGCAATCTGGCTGGGCTTTATTTTTAAATTTTCATCTTAATATCCCTAAAATTGGTAATAGACTATCCCAAAAATGAAAGCTGGACAAGTCCATTTAAGAAATTCAGAAGGTTAAGGGTTAGACATGCATTGGCAGTTCAGAATATCAGTGGTACTTGATAACTGCTGTCATTTTAGTGGGAAAGGTGCAACATAGCATTAATCAAAAGGAGGCTGAATAAATGTACATGTATAAAGATGATGTAGACAGACATATTGTAATAGTATATATAACAGCTGGATATAATGTTTATCTGTGAGCATATCATCTCCATGCAGGCCCTCTCTGATGTTCCTATACTCTGCCAGAATTCAACACAATAATATATAATTATATAGGCTAAATGTATATAAATATTAGTTCTTGTTTTCTACATCCTAACAGTACACTGTACGCCTTCTTAATGAAGTGCTTTTGTTTTATTAAGAATGTTCATAAAAAAAAGTTATTTTTGATTCATTTAAGATTTGGACCATCAGTGCCTTCAGGGGTCACAGAGAACATAAAATTCTGCTATTCCCCAAGAAGAACTTTAATAATTCATTTCATATTTTGGCCATCAGGGGGTGAGAGCATAAAATTTCAGTATTCTCCAAGAAGTACTTTTGTGATTAATTTAAGAATTTGGTCATCAGGGGGTAAGAACATAAAATTATGGTATTTCCCAAGAAGTACTTTATGGTTCATTTAAGATTTTGGGCATCAGATGGCGAGAATATAAAATTCTGAAGGACTATGTTGTTTTAATCTGCCTGAAAACTACCATACCATCTTATCAGGGAAATAAATCTGATCTAATGTTTACTATTAATGTGTTCATTTATTTGAATTTAAGCTAGAAAACAAGTCAGAAATCAAACAGTGGGAGTTGTATTATAAACTGTGTTATATCCTGGAATTAGATTTTATCCTTAACAACAAGCTATATATTGTGGAAAAAAGGTCTGATTAAAGAATTGGAGTGACCTTTTAAATGCTATAGCCAAAAGTGAATAGTTAAACATTTAAGTCAACTGCAAATTCTGAAATTCCCTTGCTATTGTGCTGAACAACCTTCTTCAGTTGCTTTATAAATTGTTAAAGGGCAGTCTAATCAGACGGCAGTCTAATCAGACTGTTTGGTGCATTTTGGTTCTAAACTTAAGGACTATCCTAAATTCAAAGCAGCCCAAGCTGGTAATTAAAATCAGGAATAAAATTATTAAAGCTTTCCCTACTGGAACCAAAATTGTTAAGCCTTTGCCACCAGAATAGAGCCTAGCTTTTCTGTGGCATGAGCAGTACCTGTGCTTTGTGCTTCAAGGAAATATTCACTAGCATAGTGTGTACCTTCAAAGAAATCTTTGTGCAATCAAAATGTTTATCAACTTGAAATTCTTTTATAATTGTTAAAAAATGGAAAATGTTAATACTTAAAGTAGTATATTAATACATGTCAATACTTAAAGTGATGTGTTCAAATGTTAATATTTACTTCCTGTTATACATGTATGTTTATGTGCTAATGTGTTTAATATGTAATTGCTCTATGAAATGTAATTATATGTTAATACTTAAAGCAATGTGTTGAAATTTAAATACTAAAAGTTAAATACTTGAAATAATGTGTTCATGTGTAAATACTTAAAATAATGTGATAATATGTTAATACTTAAAGTATCAAAGTAATGTATTAATGCTTAAAGTAATGTCATTTTATGTTCATTCTTAAATTAATTTGTTTAGTTGTTACAACTAAATTATGTGTTCATATGATAATACTTAAAGTAAGTTTATATGCTAGTGCTTAAAGCAGCACGCCTCCAGATTCCTGCTAATGTTCATGAAAATTTTGAAAATGTATTCAAAAGTGAAATATTGTTAAGCTGACAGAGAAAATAATATGCACATTTCAAACGGCACTTACAACCAATGTAAATTACAAAAAAGAAATCAAAATATGCAAAATTAACACTTACTGCGTTAGTAACGCAGTAGAAATATGGTGAAATTTACTGAAAAATTGGCCATCAGTCGCAAATAACATGGAAATTATTACTTTTATCTTTAGTCTTTTTACTTTTCATAAAACCTCAATACATTTTTCTCAAGTTTTATTTTCTTGAAATATTTTGGCTCATCTGGAGGCATGCAGCTTTAAAGCAATATTTTGATATGTTATAGTTAAAGTAATATGTTAATACTGAAAGTGACATACTAATACAAAATATGTTTTAATTCTTAAAGTAATATGTTGAGAATATTAATAATTTGTCTAAAATGTTAAGCACATTGAATGTGGGTAACTGTATACATGTTGGTACATGTATTTTAACCAAGTATTATCGTGTGCACTATAAGCTTGGCCTGAAGTTTGCATGCTCTATCTTATATATACATGTGGAGTAGATCTGCTGACTTTGATTAGAACCATATTTCCTATGTAAATATACTGTTATCATGTCTTTCTGGAGCTCTCTATCTCTTTCTTACTTTAGTAGCTTGTCAGACAGACCATACATTATATATTTAGCTTTCAATATAATGCATGTACATGTATATAATTAGTGTCCTTAGACTCCTTAAGAATTTAAAATCATATTTGACAAACATGAATCATATACAACTTCATGTGGAGACATTGCAACTTCTTTGTTTGTTAAAATGAAATTACTAGTCTTTAAACAGCTGGAACCGAAAGTGATTAGCCTTTGCCACCAGTATAGAGCCGCCAAGTCAGCCTGTATATGCTAGCAGTCTGACCAGGCTCTATACTGTTGGCGGACAAACTTGAAATTAACAGTCCCAATAATGGAAACTGGGCAAGTCAATTTAAGAAATTCTGCAGGTAAAGGGCTTAAGAACTTTCAGTTTAATTAAACTTTCGACAGATAGTGTGTCACTTTAACTTGACTTTTATAATAATGTTTAAAATATCAACAAAACATGATAATGGTATATGTAAATCATTCTTCGATATTCTACTTTAAGCTGCATGTGTATATATATACATGTTAATTATCTTGAAGATCCCTTTAACAGGTGAAACCAGTAGATATTTTTCTTCAGCTATTATTAATAGTTTTGCTAATAAATGATTATAACATAAATCAGAAAAGGCATTGCTTCAATTTGTTCCCGCTATTTTTATCTGTAGTGTTTAAAACTTTACATTTTGGATAAACATTGGATATACATGTATATATATAAATACATGTAGCTGACTATAGTAAACAAGGTGATTATTTATAGGAAGACTAACTAGCAATTATTGTCAAAATGACATGAAGTATACCTTGTAGAGATTGACATTTTGGCGAGGTAATGATGTCTTTTGTCGAGGCCTGATGTTGTTTATTATTCTAAAATATTCGTGCAGATTCCAGGCATTGCTGTATGATGACATAGAGTTATGTTTTCTGTCAACAAGTCTGCCAGTATAACATTGCTACCTTGTATTAAGAAGGGAGTTAATCAGTGAGATGTAATGGTTGTCACAGTTATTTCCCTTTTTATTGACCAAATTCTTGGTGAAAATCTGAAAAATTTGATTGTAGTAAAATATTATAGCTTGTTTTTTTGGGGTTTTTTATTTTCTCTTTAATTTGACTTTTTTAGTTAGTGTTATTTGATCTTAAGTTTATCTTGTTATCTTTGTTTAAATCATTTTAAAAATGGTGTTCTGAGCATGTCTTTAGGAAAATGTAATAACTGAAAAGGTACAGTTTATATACTGCTCTGCAGTAAACATGTCATAATGGTTGGAATTGAAGTCCCTTCAGTAATGCTGAATGATTAAACAACTTATTAAGTACAGGACTGGTATTAGTAATGGTTCAGAATATATTAAGATGTTTTTCACATACCAATTATTACCTCCTCTTGCCACCATTTTTGGAGTCATTCTCTATACATCATATACTAAAGATAAGATAAAAATCTCTTCTGTCATCTTCATAAAAACTGATAAAAATCTTTAACATATTGGTGCTGTGATAATATTTTGCTGTATATGTAATAATTTTACAATTCACAGTGTGCTATTTAGCCTTAACATTTCCAAAACCTGTATTATCATAAATATGACCTTTCTTTAAAAAAGGTAAGCTTCAAATTTGTGGTTCTTGAATTGCGCATATGTTTTTGACATCAAAATTGTACCTTGTGCTTAATAGTGCTTACATGCACTACATGATTTAACTTCAACATTAAATGATCTCAAATATGAGCCGCGTCACGACAAAACCAACATAGTGCGTTTGCGACCAGCATGGATCCACACCAGCCTGCGCATCCGCGCAGTCTGATCAGGATCCATGCTGTTCGCTATCAGTTTCTCTACTTGTAAAAGGGTTGGTAAGCGAACAGCATGGATCCTGATCAGACTGCGCGGATGCGCAGGCTGGTCTGGATCCATGCTGGTCACAAACGCACTATGTTGGTTTTGTCGTGAGAAGGGCTCATATATTACTGATATAAACTTTATTAAATATTCCTTAACCCTCTTCATATTAGATTTTTAAGTTTAATGGAAGTTTTTGGCAACAGTAAAATTTCGGTAGGCTGTTTTGCATGGTTCTTATATTAATAGATTTTGAAGTGTTTGCTAAGATGAATTAATAAGTTTTATATAATATCTAGTCTATTATAAACAGTTAGTTTCTCAATGAAAACTTACACTTCACTAAGCATTTCCTTCCTACCAAGGAAATGACTCGGGATATTGGAATTTTACTTTATTAAAAATTTTATGTTTTGCTTTTCCTTCAGGAAACCCCTACTGTAAACGACGAACCTGTTTCAAAAGTGGTAAGTTAATTTCTTGTATTAAGAACTGTCGTGTACTTTATTCTTTCAATATTGTGTACTTTCATAGTTTTTTAATTAAATTTTGAAACTAAAAAATATATATTTTGCATTATGATTGATGTATTTGAAAAATGCTGATATGAATGATAATTTTGAAGGCATTACATATTATGTACATATGAATCTTTAAATATACTATACTTTTTTATACGCTCGAAAAGGATTTTGGACATATAATGTTATGCCCTTTGTCTTCCTGTCCTCCTTTAGCAATGTCCAGTACGCTTTGTATCTTTTAACTGATGGAAGGTCATTAAAACTTCTTAGCAAAAATGACAATGTCTAGTTTTGGCCTCCTCAGTTCAAGGGCAACACATAGTCATTATGTATGAATTTCTAAATTTTTTGTGTCCACTCTGAATCTTTTGAACTGATGGACTTTTAGGAATTTAAATCTATTTGGCTGAAATTTTACTTGACCTGAAAAGAATCTTTATAAAACTTTAATGTTATAAAATTTACAAAACATTAACATTAAATTATTCCGATGATGTCAACATTTACAGCTAGATACATCGGAAGAAGACGCAGCAGCAGAACGTCGACGTAGACAACGCGAGGAAGAAGAAGAGGAAGCCCGTCGTCAAGCAGAACGTGAAGAAGAGGAAGAACGTGAACGTCAGGCAGCATTAGAACAAGAGAGGCGAGAACGTGAACGCGAGGCTCGTAGACGTGAACAAGAGGAAGAGCAGCGAAGACAAGAGGAAGAAGAAGAAAGAAGAAGGGTACGTAGCTAGAAATATCCCATTCTGGAAATGTAATGTCATGAGATAGGAAACTTGCAGCAGATTTTATCAAAAAGAGAGAAGAAGGGTAAGTAGCTAGAAATATCACAATGTGTGAGATAGAAGCAGATTTTATAATAACAAACTATTTTTTTCAAAATTTGATATGAAGGTAAGTACTGGCGTACTGATCTATATATAGAAAATGTTTTTTAGAAATTCCAGGTAAAATAAATACTGTTGTGGTAAGGATTGTAATAAGTTATATGTTGGAATATTGTAATTAAGTTACAGTAACACTCGAAAAACAAAGATAAGATATAGCCTGGTATATGGGTAGAAAAAAAATGGGTCTTGATGACAGATGTATGGAGATGATAATGATCACTAGCTACATTTATCATATCTGATCCAGGTGGGATTAATTAACTTCCTTTATCCATGAGATAATAAGTATTGTCATTCTTGTATAATATAAATCTTTGCCAGATTTCTGTTGGTAAAAATAATTATACAGTCTATAGTGATATAGTTGATCATATGTTTAGTGTTTGTTGAACTTTTGGAGGATTTGTGTTGATGAAGTGTTGTTGTGCTTCTTGTTGTTATTGTTGTTGATAAGACTTGATATATTACTAAAAAAGAGAATTGAAATAATTTGTAAGTATTTTAATTAGAGACTTATTTCTTTACATTTTTTAAAGTTGAATTTAACAGACTTTTTTTTTGTGTCTCCGACAATTCTAAGATTTATTTTGTAAGGCCCAGTTTGTTTTTTTTTTAAGTATTATAGGAATTTGGAAGAAGAGAATCTCTTAATTACTATGTTATTTTTACCTTTACTTCTTTTTTTCTTCCAATATAAGAGGATTATTGGCAATAATGAATATATCTGTTACTTTTTTATATGAAAGGTAAGTACTGGTCAAACATTGGTCAGATATTTTTTATCATTATATAAGTTAATTAGGGACAGGATGTAGCAGCAACTTTTAGATATAGTTTCAATATAGTTTGGATAACACCAAGGTAAGTCTGTGTGGAAATGTTTTCTTACACTCTTAATTTTAATCAAAAAAGGTAGGTTTGCTTGTGATTTGTTGAATTGATTTATTTTATTTTTATTTTTTTTGCCTATTTGATTATATTATTTTTAATAACTATGCATGCCTTAAATAGAGTTAATAATATATGACTTGCATGGCCCTTTTGGGTACAAGTTTTCAGGCATTTGCTAGAAGTTCAGGTGGTTTTCCTACTCCTGGAATCTCTCTCTTTTCTATATAAAACCAATAGAAATAATATTAAAATCAGGTTTTTCTGATTTTCTGATATTTACTTGCACCCATGTATTTGTTAAGATTATTTAGTAACATGCATGTTTGAATATTTTGGCAACTTTTCTTTACTTTATATTTTAACTTAATCATGATAAAGTTAAAGTATTAGTCCTTTATTTGTTTATGAATTTATTGCATGGATTGCCATATTGTTTGCATGACCATTGTTTGTTTTTGCATGCCATGTAGAATGTTGATGCAGAAATTGAATCTGGGTCAGAGGAGAGCAGTGAAGAAGATAGTCGTAAGGGAGACAGAACAGAAAACAAGCTTTTCATCGAAGAAGATGATCTTGTCACGAAAGAAGCTCCTGTGGATAAGTTTGAACGTGTCCGTCAGTGGAACGAGGAGTCAAACAATGTGGATAAAGTGCATAGACAAAACAGTGATAATTTGTGGCATAAAAAATCTACAGAAAATTCCGCAAAAAGTGAAAAATCGAAACCTGTTGATAGAAGTAGTAGTTTTAAGGAGATTAATAACAACAAAATTAAGGATAAATTAAATAAGTTTGAGCATTTCAAGGACGAAAGTGATTCTAAAACAGTGAAAGATAAGGCTTTGTTGATTTCATATGTGGATAAAGATGGATTAAAGGGGAAGTTGCAAAAGTTTGAAAAGGAAATTAAAGACCATGAGGCTTCTATTAAGGAACATAGACAGCCATCCCATCCTGTGAAACTTGAGGTAACTTTTTTTCTCACTTTTTATTTTTATCATAAACATAAACAATGTTAAAATACATTTGTATTATTGCTGTAAATATTTTGTCGGAGATGTATGTTAAATCAAATTCTATGATGGATGAAAGAATCTGTTTCACACATACATAGTTTGCTATATATATTATACATAATATATGATACACATTGCCAAAATGGCAAATTTATTATACCCATGATGGTTTAAGGATTAACTTGATAAGAGGGCTTTGGTCTGTTTAAGATACTTTGACAAAACAAAATTGAAAATCATTCAAGAAATTTATTTTTCAACCATTGAATTTATCTTGTTAGTTCCACTGAGCATGTCTGGTTCATTTTAAGCTATATGGATCGGTTAGGCATCAGATATCAACAGCTTAGTATGTTAACACTAGATATCTCAGACTTTATTGGATGTTCATCAAACTTTGTAAATAATTATGTAATTGTCATTAAAATTTTAAGAAAACATACCAAGCACCAGCCATCTGGGTCAGATCCTAGCAGCACTTACAACCCATGTAAATTACCAAAAACAGGTCAAAATATGCAAAACTAGCCCTTAACACATTAGTAACACAGTAGAAATATGGTGAAAAATACTGCAAAATTGGTCATGAATGTCACATAACATGGAAATTATTATTTTTATCATGAATCATTTTACTTTTTAGCTCACCTGTCACAAAGTGACAGGGTGAGCTTTTGTGATCGCTTTTCGTCCGGCGTCCGTCCGGCGTCCGTCCGTAAACTTTTGCTTTAAATGACATCTCCTCATAAACCACAAGGCCAATTTCATCCAAACTTCACAGGAATGTTCCTTTGGTGGTCACCTTTAAAAATTGTTCAAAGAATTTAATTCCATGCAGAACTCTGGTTGCCATGGCAACCAAAAGAAAAAACTTTAAATAATTTCTTTTAAAAAACCATAAGAGCTAGAGCTTAGATATTTGGCATGAAACATCTTCTAGTGAGTGTCTACCAAGTTTGTTCAAATAAAAGCCCTGGGGTCAAAATTGGCCCCGCCCCAGTGGGTCATTGATTTTCCCTATATGCATATAGTAAAAACTTAAAAAATCTTCTTTTAAAGAACCGTAAGAGCTAGAGCTTAGATATTTGGCATGAAACATCTTCTAGTGAATGTCTACCAAGTTTGTTCAAATAAAAGCCCTAGGGTCAAAATTGGCCCCGACCCAGGGGTCATTGATTTTCCCTATATGCATATAGTAAAAACTTAAAAAATCTTCTTTTAAAGAACCCAAAGAGCTAGAGCTAAGATATTAAGCATGAAACATCTTCTAGTGAGTGTCTACCAAGTTTGTTCAAATTAAAGACCTGGGGTCAAAATTGGCCCCGTCCCGGGGGTCATTGATTTTCCCTATATGCATATAGTAAAAACTTAAAAAAATCTTCTTTTAAAGAACCATAAGAGCTAGAGCTTAGATATTTGGCATGAAACATCTTCTAGTGAATGTCTACCAAGTTTGTTCAAATAAAAGCCCTGGGGTCAAAATTGAGCCCGCCCCAGGGGTTCATAGATTTTCCCTATATGCATATAGTAAAAACTTAAAAAAATTTCTTTTAAAGAACCCAAAGAGCTAGAGCTAAGATATTAAGCATGAAACATCTTCTAGTGAGTGTCTACCAAGTTTGTTCAAATTAAAGCCCTGGGGTCAAAATTGGCCCCGCCCGGGGGTCATTGATTTTCCCTATATGCATATGGTAAAAACTTAAAAAATCTTCTTTTAAAGAACCCAAAGAGCTAGAGCTTAGATATTTGGCATAAAACATCTTCTAGTGAATGTCTACCAAGTTTGTTCAAATAAAAGCCCTGGGGTCAAAATTGACCCTGCCCCAGGGGGTCATAGATTTTCCCTATATGCATATGGTAAAAACTTAAAAAATCTTCTTTTAAAGAACCCAAAGAGCTAGAGCTAAGATATTTAGCATGAAACATATTCTAATGAGTGTCTACCAAGTTTGTTCAAATAAAAGCTCTGGGGTCAAAATTGGCCGCGCCCCAGGGGGTCATTGATTTTCCCCTTTATGCATATAGTAAAAACTTAAAAAATCTTCTTTTAAAGAACTCAAAGAGCTAGAGCTAAGATATTTAGCATGAAACATGTTCTAATGGGTGTCCACCAAGTATGTTCAAATAAAAGCCCTGGGGTCAAAACTGGCCACCCCGGGGGGGGGGGGGTCATTGATTTTCCTTATATGTGTATAGCAAAAACTTAAAAATCTTCTTTGGAAAAACCCAAATAGCTAGAGTTTAGATATTAAGCATGAAACATCTTTAAGTAAATATCTACAAAGTTTGTTAAAATAAACGCCCGGGGTCAAAACTGGCCCTGCCCCAGGGGTGACATTGTTTTTAACTATATGTGTATAGTAAAAACTTTAAAAATCTTCTTTTAAAAAAGCCAATGAGCTAGAACTTAGATGTTTAGCATGAAACATCTTCTTATGGGTGTCTACCAAGTCTGTTCAAATAAACAAATAAAAGCCCTTGGGTAAAAATTGGCCCGGGGTGGGGGGCCTATATACAGGTGAGCGACCTCAGGGCCATCATGGCCCTCTTGTTTTAAAATCTCATTACTTTTTCTCAAGTTTGATTTTCTTAAAACATTTTTTGGCTCATCTGGTGGCATGCAGCTTTAACTTATTTGTTGACTGTCACAATTTTGTCTGATTATATACATGTATATCAATATGTTTCAGTTACTGACTCCTCAACCTCATAAGCTGACAGCAAAACTTCAACAATTTGAAATTGCAGCAAAATCACAGAGTGCTTCGAAACCTACATCATCTTCAAATATACAGGTAAAAGAATATATTATAATTATCTACCCATGGTTATAGTTCTACAATATAAAATCTTAAAATGTGAAGTAGCTACAGATGTATATTTTCAAAAAGTGTACTTAAAATTTGATTTAATCCTTTGATTGCA